AGAGATTGTTTCTATTGATACACGGAATTTACAGAATCATTTTAAATTGTAATAGGGGAAGACTGCAGGAGGGAGCGGTAAAATACAGGGGGTCCCCAGCAAAAACAAGAAACTTTACGAGTCTGATGAAACCCGCTGGTTTTCCATCAGGCAGTCACGGGGCAGCTCCAACGACCCAGTGACCGAGCTCAGTCAGGCGACGTCCTGCTCTGCTTAAGAAGCTGTGTTATTTTCCTGCTTCAGAAGAAGCGTCCAACGTGTTTTTACGCTTTCTCCGAGACATGTCACGTCGCTAAGTTGTTAGCGCCGCGCGCTAAGGAAACCCTGCGTTCCTCTTCGGAACGAAAACCTCGTTGTCGCTCTCAGCCGCGGCCGAAGCCATGTTTGTTCACACACAGGTGAAAACAAGCGGGGCACTAATATATTACTGTGACTCACTCTGATTGGTTAAGGGTCAAACAAAGGCATGTCATTCGCCTGAGGTAAGTTCCCTTTTCATTCAGAGGCAGAAATTCAACAGCAGAGCTGTGAATCGTGATAAAAAGGTCTCTCAAAAATGAGAGACCGTCAGATGTGTAGATCGTAAAACGGTCTAAAATCGTCATATCGCCCAGCCCTAGTCTAAAGTATATAAGACACTGTCCAAACAGACGATAAAATTGCAATCCCTATTGAAACATGGGAGGTGGATCTATCAGTTAGCTTTGACCAGAACTTCTGGTCCCAAACTTGTTTATAAACTTTTAAAAGGATCAGACACCCCAATTTACAATTAATTCAGTACAAAATTCTACACAGAGTACACTATACAGGTCATCGGATGTTCAAGATGGGGTTTGTGTCGTCTGACACCTGTACACACTGCACAAACAACATTCCTGACAAATACATTCACGCACTGTGGTCCTGTCCACCTGTCCAGGAATTTTGGGGTAGAGTATGTGAAGATCTGTCAAAATGTCTGAAATGTCATATCCCAACTCCCCCTCTCTTTGTGGGGGGTGGAGGGTCTGAGTTTGGAGTATCCGGATGTTCCCTGGAGGTGGGTTCACTGGGGGTGTCTGGGACTGGGGGGCCGTTGCCCCCCCCTCTGGAGGTGCTTGGGTTGCCTCTGGGGTGGACTACTGGCGGTTGTGAGTGGGGCCCCTTGGAGGTCTTGGCGGCGGCCAGGGGTCACTGCCTGGCAGCTGCATTGCCCCTTGGCAGGTCTGCGTGGGGGCCTGGGGGCTCGGGGTTTGGGGGTGGCCGGCCCCGTGTGGGGATCTGGGCGGGGTCTTGGGGGTCGGGTCCTGACATGTATGCTGCCGGGAAGAAGGCAGGAACATGCAGCAGTGCCTGGCTCGGGTTCAGGGGCCTCGGGTAGACCTTGGCTCCTCTGCTGTCCCATCATAGGGGAGGGGGAGGTCCAGGAGGGGGAGGACCCAACCTTACCTGGATGTCCTATGTCTTATATATTCTGGAAGTTGTGCAAATGCAGGGATGGGCATAGATATTCTGTTGGGGTGGGGCTGGGTCGGTGCCCTCGGACTCCGTGAGGCTCTGCAATGCTGCTGCTTTGGGCCCAGGCAGGATGGGCTGGGGGTCTCCATGCCCTGGGTGGCAATTTGACAACATAGGTGCCTATTGGGGCCAGTGGGGGAGCTGGCTCCCTGGAGGGCTATGCCCAACCAGCCATTCATCCCCATCCCCGCATATTTTTCTCCTCCTGCTCCCTCACATCATCACATAAACATGCACATAGGACCTTGGGGGGTGGAAAAGTCAGGGAGTGCGGGTATGGACCCCATTTCTGCATTCCTGTGGCAACCTGCCCCCCAATTTTGTTTGCACCTTAAACACTTCCACCAACGACATTCCACGCAAATACACACTTAGGGCCTTGGGATTGAGCACATTCAACGGCAGTTGGCAGGGGGATTTCTCAGCCTCATCCCGAGTGCCGGTGCCCACTTCCAATATTAAACTGTACTTAGACACCGAGGGCTGTGGGTGCACGTGGGGTGGTGCAGTGGCATCAGCTGGCATAGGCCAGACAATGCCTGCACTGCCCGCTCACCACAGCCATGGAATACACCTCATCAACACACACTAACACTATATTGGAGCAGGCGGAGGGAGACTAGGGGTCTTAGCACATCTCTGTTGTTGCTTGGCTTCCTGGGGCTGGAGGCTAGGAGGGAGATCTGGCCGTCTGGTTGGGGTTTGGGGTGGTGGGTTGCTCTGCTCAGCGTTGGGTGGGAGAGCCTGCTCATCAGCACCCCCAGCAGAAAGGGTCAAACTCTGGTAACCGGTGATGGTTGTACCCAATGTGCAGCAGTACCGGGACAAGAGTGAACAGGGTGTGTATGTGGAGCATAAGTGGGTGTCCGGCGTGCATTTTTGTAAGTCTTTGGTTGTATGTGTATGTGTGAGCATGAGGGAGGGAGTGTGTGAACATGTTGTAGGGATCAAAGGAACAGCGCTAGGCTGGTTTAAATCTTACCTGTCTGATATATAGAACTAGGATTGGGACAATATTCAGCGTAACTTATACAATATTCAGCGTAACTTGTACCAAGTTTTGTAACTCCGAACATGTTTCATCACATGTAACTTTGGATTCGTAACTTGTAACTTTGGATTCGTAACTTGTAATTCTCAATTCGTACTTGTATTCTTGTTTTGTAACAGGAACATTGTATTTTGTACATGTATTTTTTATTTTGTAAAATCAAACATTCATTCAGAAACATGAAACTTTCGTTTTGTAACTAGCAGACTTCCAAATTGAAAAAAATCAAGGTACAAGTTTGAAATCAAAACTCTCAGAACACACATTTCATTCTACAGGTACAAACCAAAATCCTACAGTGTTACAGATTTTTTTTGTCTTGATTCTAGCGTCAGTGGGAGGAACTTGGGTGGAACCAATGAGAGCACGAGTCTTGGCTACCAATCACGTTTCTCGAATTCCTGTCCAATCATTGGGAGAGGAGGGCAGGGTTTTGTCAGAGCTGTAGAGAGTTACGACACTCCATCCAATAGACTCCTATGGAATGGGGAAGTCACGTGGTTCATGTAGTTTCGAATAGTTCCAAACAGCCCCGCTGCTGCATTGACTGCAGTTCATTTTCGGTGTTTCGGAAGGATTTTCTCCGGTAAGTTGATGAAATGTCATCATTTTGTTGCATTGTGAAGCGTTAGCTAACCGCTTAGTTGTCTCCTCACAGAACAAGGATATCCCAGCATGCTTTGCACGCCGGCTGTGGATTTTCAACAGGCAGAGAAAATGGGGAGAGCTATGAAGTTTTAAACGTAAGTTTGTTAAAAACTAGCCGTAGAAATCTAAAAAGCTTAAAGCGGTTCAGTTTATAGACATTTTTCGTTTGTTCTTTAAATTATATTTTAGGCATAAATCAGCCAGAACGAGTTTGTATCGCGGGTCCCAGTTATTCCCGTGCGTGTGTGTGTGTGTGTGTGTGTGGGGGGGGGGGGGGGGGGGGGGGGATTAAACTTGTTATTTGTTTTAAGGACAACGGAGCAAAGAAGCGTTTTTATTAAGCTTAGAGGTGAAGGGTGAAGCTGTTTACACACAACAGAAGTTCTTCTGTGAAATGTAGTTTTACATTCGGGGATTTACACAGCTGACACGTTATAATGAAGTAAAAAGTTTGTGTGAAGAATATAATTATTATCTTCTCATGTGGATAAATGTAAAAATGTGTTTATTGCCTTTTTGTCACCTGTGGTCTCTGATTTTCTCTGTAGGACTGCAGGTGTCCAGGGTCAGGAGAGTCTTTACCTGGTTGTCATCCTGGGAGAGAAGCCTTCTACTGTCATCATGTTAATGTTATTTAGCTGTTTGATGTTTGAACACATTTATTAAAACAAATACTAACTGATAACTCTTTCTGGTAATTGATTTTATCACCAATTTTATTATTACAGATGTTTTTGAACATGTTACATGAACAGAAAATGAAAAGACAAGATTATTTATAATAGGTTAAACTTATTTACAGATCAAAACCAGTATGGACCAGTTTTGTACGGTTAAAGCAGGATTAACCTGAGTGACTCTTCCTGGATCATTTATTTAAACTGAGTGAGCAGGAAGTCTTTAACAGTGCAGCTGGATCTGCTGCAGGAGGATCCAGGCGTGGATGGAGGGCTGGAGCAGACCGGTGGCTGGACCTTTCTGGCCAGAGGAACATCATACAGGACGGTCTGCAGAGAGAGCTTTGGGACGCTTCCTCTCACTGTCCACTCCATCGTCCATCTACAGGGACTGCTGGGCTGGCACAGACGACGGCTGTTACGTCTCTGTGAATGACTTGCCTGTTAACAGTAGTGGTGGTCTGCTGGTACTTCCTGCAGGACAGAGCACCACTGACCTCCTCCACACACATCTTCCTCACGCTCATCCTGCAGACCCACAACTTCACCAGCACCGATGCAGATGTGCAGCACAGTGTATGCTGACCTGTAATAGATTAAATAAGAATTTGTTTGTTTTTTATAGAAAAATGTAAAACAACATAACCTGCAGTACACTGGTTCTGTTCAGTTTAAAGAAAAGCAGCAGGGAAAACTACAGAGAATTTACATTTTTAAGACAGATCTAATCATTATTAGGCTTAAGTTGAATGAACAAAAGCACATTGAAAACAGTTCATTTTATTAAAAAGCCTGTTTTTTAAAACGTTTTACCCTCATTTGATGCAAAATAAGTTCTACGGTCCAATTTACATTAGAAAACATCCTACTGCATTCAACATTTATAATGCATTTGGTTTATATTAATTACCTACATGATAATACTCTGTAGTAATGTGTTGTGTATGTTTAACAAGTTCATTCTGTAGCTTAAAACATACATGAAACCATCTAAAGTTAACATGTAAGTCCTGAAAGCTTCTAGAATAAACAAAGTTACTTTACCTGAAAACGGTTGTGAACAAACGCTGCTGATGGACGTGAAGCTGCTGTAGCTTCTTAAAGAAGTTGTCACTTCCCCCTAGGGATGAGTACCGAATTCGGTACTTTTTAAGGTACCGACCGAATTCCATAGTACCGACCGAACACCGATTCACGTCATTTCAAACGGTGCCTCGTTTCGGTACTGCCAAGACAGTAGCGCATGCGCAAGAGCGTTATGTCGCCGGTCCCTGCGAGCCCGTTGTAAACAGAGCAAGCATGGTAGAAAGAACGCACGCTAAAACTTGGGTCCACTTCACTAAATGTGATGGGTAACTGGGTGATGAAACTAGCGACAGACAACGATCTAAGTGAGACATCCTCATCTTAATCTGCTCCAGTAGGTAAATAAAATGTTTAAGATAACGTTACCTTGATTTGTTAGCTTCCGTTTCGCTAATGGTGCGTTCGCTTTCTCCTCGGAACTCCGAATTTCCGACTAGAAGAACATGAACGCGCTCTAAAGTTTGGCTTTACTTTACTAAATGCGACGGGTGATTGGGTGAAGGTAAAACCAGTGACAACGATCTAAGTTTGAGGCATCATCGTTTTAATCTGCTCCAGCAGCTAAATAAACTGTTAAAGATAACATTAGCTTGATATGTTAGCTTCCATTGCCACCGTTATCAGCTAATGGTGCGTTCGCTTTCTCCTCGGAAATTCTAACTTCCCAGTAGGAAAAATCAAATGAAAAAGGACGGCAAAAGGAATGAAGATACACAGTAAATTTAGTTCACAGTAAAGATGTTTGCTTCATTTTAATTATCAGCTTATAAAACTACAAGGACGATGTTAAAATACAAACTTGTATGATATTTATCGTGATATTTATCAAATATGGTTATATATTGAGAAAAAAATATATTTAATTATAAAAGAGGATTAAAATAATACTCAAAAGTATCGAAAATTGGTACCGTTAAGTACCGGTATCGACTCGTAGGTACCGGGAATTAGTACCGGATCGATTCAAATGTCAAAGGTCCCCATCCCTACTTCCCCCTCAGAGTCTTACTCCACCCACGTATCAATTTTAAAAACTGCAACATTAGTAGGCGTTGCCTGGAGGACCGAGAGGGCGGAGCCGCGGCAGTGACGAAGACGACGGCTAACTAGACGAAGCTAGCTCCCTTCACTCTGAGCAGTCATTAGAAGTGGAGGACGTTTCTCCCCCTCCTTACACAGACACTCGAGAAGAAAGGGACCAAGTCTAATTGGAGGAGACAAGCGGACCTGAGCCTTATTGTTTTGAGCTTGTGAGTTGCCTGAAACTCCAGGAACCGACCCAACAGAACCATCTCTGAATGTAAGTAGCCGTTAGCCATAGCATCAGATTAGCTGCAGGGTTTGTCTCCACGGCCCTAGAGCTAGTATTCAGCATGTGTTAGAGGTTTATCTGCTTCAACACACCTGGCTTTAATCAGCAACAAATAGCTGAGCTGCTTAACAGCTAATCCAACCTGTTAAAGCAGGAAAACCACTGAAACGTGCTGGATAGCAGGTCTCCAGGAGCCTTGGGCTTAAGTTACAGTCTGCTGCATAAAGTTATGAAAATATCCCATGAGAAAATTATTATGTAATGTGTTCAGCCCACTAAAACTGCCCTGATTTCATTATTTATTTACTAATAACAGCTACTCTCTCGGTTCTAGGTCCTCTGGTGTCTGCAGCTGGTCTCTGGTGTCGTCAGGATCAGGAGCTTCCAGAAGAATGTGCCTTTCAATGACTCTTTCCCCCTTATTTGTTATATTAATTAAATAAATCTCAATTGATATATTTCCTATTTTTGTTCATGTCCTTAAATACTTAAACATGCTTGAAATTAAAACAAGCTTTTAACAGTGAGGTGCTAGTTTAATTAATCACAATAGCTAGTTAAACATACGACAATGTGATAATTCAATTAATGTAATTTATAAATATCCATTAAAATATCAAAACTGGAATCAAAATGAGATATTTGGCAGCACAAAAAACTTGTCAAACACAATATTTATTGTAATAATTGTAGGCAGACAGGAGACAGAGCTGATGGAGGTTCTCAGTCATCGAAGGATGGCTGAAGGCTTTCCAGGAACAGGAGATGTGGTGTTGTCTCTTCTCTTCTCTCTCTATTCTGCCAGATGAGCTGATAGGTTACAGGTGTGTGAGGACATCCTCATGCTGTCACAACCAGATGACAGGAGTTATCAGGTGATCAGCCAGGCTAATGATGAGATGCAGAAAGAAAACAAATCATACAGAAAGAAAACAAATCCAGGACAGCGTACAATAATATGTGGTGTTGCTCACCTTATGTGCTCTTGTATTAACGTGTGCCTGCCTCATGGTGTAGAGTCCATATTTTGCTGTGTCCTGCAATAATGCAGGTTATTAGTTAATTTACTTTTGATAGCAAAAACAAAATATTTAATGTAAAAGTTATTTACCAGGTGAATCAGCTCACACGTCACCACCAAGTGTCACAGGGCCAGAATCAGTAGCCTCCTTCATGATGTCATGATGTAATCACATACTTATTTAATTGTTAATATCTTAAAAATTCTGAAATGTTTTAATTTTTTTACCTTGAACAGTTCACTGAGCTTGCACTGTCACTGAGGTGGAAGCTGGAATCAACAGCAGACACCTCACATCGTGGTCTTTTCAGGGGGTGTGGACGCTGCTCTGACTTTCTGGAAGATGAATTTCCGTCATGATCCTTGTGTCACAAGACACACTGCGGCTGTGAGCTCTTCTGGCTGGCTATGTACAAAAACACAGAAGCAGCACATTTATAAATATTTAAAAGAGCATAAAATCACGTGTAACAATAATCTGTAAAACAAATTAAAACTAGAAGGTAATAATAAAATGTTTACATAGAAGATTATTAAAAATAATTCACCTTTGCTATGCCGGTAAAGCTTCACATCAGCCTGGACAAGTGCATTCTTGCAGCTAAATCAGTCTGACAGCCAGTGTCTTGGGTAGATTTAGCCTGAAAAAAAAAATAGAAGCACATTGTTGTTGGGAGTTTATAAAGTCAGATAAAATAAAAAAGAAACTGTCCTATATAGGCGCTTTATAACATTCCTAGTGTGTGATCGTTGTTATTAGGGCTGCTCGATTATGGCAAAAATAATAATCACGATTTTTGTGACTGAAATTGAGATCACGATTATTTAGGACGATTTTTCAATTTATGATGATTTTATTTGTTTTTATTCAGTCATAAAATTGCTCAGGGCACAATTAGGACAAAAATAAGAAACAAGATGATCACTAAAATAACTCCTGATTCCCAGTATAAAAAGACCAATATACTTATAGCTCATAGTCTATGACCCAAGGGCTATAGACCTTGGTTTAACTCATTTAAGTCTAACCAGTACAGAACCAAATACCAATATCTTGCAAATACTGACAGCAAGAATTATACAGTGGCATTTATAACAAATAAATGCAAATAAATTGATGTTCACAAAATGTTGCATAACATTTATTGAGTCCTGTCAAGGTGCTGTAGGAGCACCGTGTCCTCAGAGAGGTTAGTCATTAGTTATCAGCGTGAGGAACTTATTTCTACCTTATTTATAAACTATTTATTTACAGGCCCATCAGTTAATGTAATAATTGTCCCGACCACAGCTGCACCCCCCACCCCCCCCCACCCCGGTCTCACAGCAATCGGGCAAGCTGCACGTGTGTTTAGCACGCTGCACGCGCACATTTAGCTGTTTTTAGCTGCTCAGGAGTCCGCAGGTACGGTGTGTGTGTCACTCACTCTGGTTAATCCAACAGGGAGCCGGCTCCGAGAGCTGTCTTTAGCGACCGACACATCACTGCATCATTCCCTTTCCTAATGTTGTGAAGAACGGTCCGGAGTGCAGGCGGAGTGTTTAGCTAACCTGCAGGAAATGTCGACGACCGTTATCCAGAAAGTAGCTAAGGGTTACCAGAGATGTTTCTGAGATGTTCGCTAGGTACTTTTAGGATTAAAAAGTCAAGAAGGGGGTCTGAAAAGCTGCTAGAAATAGCGTCAAAGTCGCTAAGTTGGCAACACTGTGGAGGAGCGCTTCATTTGTAACTCAGGGCAGCGCAAGCGGGAGGAGCAAATAATCGGCTTGTTTAGTTTTTTATAATCGTTCAAAACTCAGATCGTAATCGTGATTAAAATTTGATTAATTGAGCAGCCCTAGTTGTTATAACGTAAAAGTCAGTCACACATGATGTGGAGAGCCTGAAATGCGACCTCCTGAACAGAATTCCTCACAGAACCTGTTAACAAGCTGGATTTCACGCTGTAATGCTGTCTGTCAACTAGTGCTGTTAGTTAGAGCCACTGTTGCAGAATTACCGACTGACTAGCTAAATGAAGTGAACCACGTCTCTCGGACTTTGCATTTAGGTAGGGAATTGTCTTTAGAAGATGTTAAAACTTTATTTAGCGTACTCACCTCAGACTGGAGCCCGCCGTGGTGGGGGAGCAGAGTCGGTGGGCTGCATCTAAATCGCGGAAGAGCCACGGTGGGCACAGCCTCCCTCTTCAAACGGAGAGTGCAGAATCGCGGGTAAAATGCTGGTTGCAAACTACAGCACCAGACGGGAGTCCAGCGGAAAGGACTGCAACCCCACAGAGCTACTGCAACCATACTACACTACACCATCTCACCATGCTAACACGATATGGAGCACTAAACCCGAACTACTTTCCTAATTACACTAACAGCCAAACACTAACTAAACTACAATATCCAACAGCCAAGCTAACACTAAATAAGTATGTATAACACTAAAAGCTATGCTAAAGACTAGGATATGCTAATGCTAAATGCTAATGCTGAACTACGGCTAGCCTCCTACACTCGCTTGCAAATCCAACTCCCAACTGGCCGAGACGCTCGATCCTTTTATAACTTTGACAGAGAGCTGCTACGTAGTACTCTACTGGTTTACGTAGTATCTTATTCTTTAGCCATTGGCTAAAATTTATTCAAAATGAGTCAAATTCTATGTTTTAAGCTGAAGGTGGAGCTATACTGTGGTATTGAGGCAGAATTTTTAATTTTTAAAGAAAATGCACCAAAATGCTAAAATAATGAATACACACATTTAAAACACTATTAGACACTCATTTATACAGTTCATCAGCAAAAAAAAGTTAATTTAGACGTTACTTGCTCTTTAATATTCCTGCTCCATTTTCGCTAGCTTTAGCATTTTTCCTTTGCGTGTAGCTGCCGCCACGGCTGTGACGGGACCTACGGGTCACCGTAGAGGTGAAGGATAGACTGTCCGAATTCAGAACTGCTGACTTCCGGTTTTAGCGGTCTTCAAGGACCCGGCCTTGCTAGACCGGCGAGGATCCGTACTCATAAGCGCCCTTCCTGTGGATTCGGACATTCGGAGTGTCGTCTCTACAGCTCTGCCCTCCTCTCCCAATGATTGGACAGGAATTCGAGAAACGTGATTGGTAGCTAAGACTCGTGCTCTCATTGGTTCCACGCAAGTTCCTCCCACTGAAGCTAGAATCGAGACAAAAAGATCTGTAACACTGTATGATTTTGGTTTGTACCTGTAGAATGAAATGTGTGTTTTGAGAGTTTTGATTTCAAACTTGTACCTTGATTTTTTTCAATTAGGAAGTCTGCTAGTTACAAAACAAAAGTTTCATGTTTCTGAATGAATGTTTGATTTTACAAAATAAAAAATACATGTACAAAATACAATGTTCCTGTTACAAAACAAGAATACAAGTACGAATTGAGAATTACAAGTTACGAATCCAAAGTTACATGTGATGAAACATGTTCGAAGTTACAAAACTTGGTACAAGTTACGCTGAATATTGTACAAGTTACGCTGAATATTGTCCCAATCCTAGTTCCATACTGATAAATTTCATTTTGTAAATGTACATGACAAATCGTCTTCATACTGCAGGGTTACTTGTGGAGTACCACAGGGTTCAGTGCTTGGAACAATTCTTTTTACTATGTATATGCTCCCAATTGGTAAAATCATTAGACGGCATGGGATAAACTTCCACTGTTATGCTGACGATACTCAGTTATATTTATCCATTAACCCTGATGAACCTAATCGGTTGGGTAGATTACAGGCTTGTCTTGAGGACATAAAAAATTGGATGACTCTAAACTTTTTGCTTTTAAATCAAGACAAGACGGAAGTTCTCATCTTTGGACCAGAAATCCAGAAAAGGAGATTGCTTAGTCAATCACCTGACCTGAATGGCAATACATTAATCTCCGAGAACAAAGTAAGGAACCTTGGTGTTATCTTTGACCAGGACATGGCATTCAAATCCCATGTTAAACAGGTTTGTAGGATTTCCTTTTTCCACCTTGGGAATATTGCTAAGATTAGAAGCATCCTTTCCAGGAGTGATGCTGAAAAACTAGTTCATGCATTTATTACATCAAGACTGGACTACTGTAATTCATTACTCTCAGGAAGTCCACAGAATGTAGTTAAAAGTCTTCAGCTTGTCCAAAATGCTGCAGCTAGAGTTCTGATGAGAATTAAAAAGAGAGATCATATCTCTCCTGTCTTAGCTTCCCAACATTGGCTACCTGTTAAATTTATAATAGATTTTAAGATCCTTCTTCTCACATATAAAGCTCTTAATAATAAAGCTCCATCATACATCAGTGATCTGATTGTTCCATACGTTCCTAACCGAGCACTTCGCTCTCAGACTGCAGGTTTACTGGTGGTTCCCAGAATATCTAAAATTAGGATGGGAGGCAGATCTTTTAGTTATCAGGCTCCTCTCCTGTGGAACCAGCTCCCAGCTTTAGTCCGTGAGGCAGACACCTTGTCTACTTTTAAGACTAGGCTTAAAACATTTTTATTTGATAGGGCCTATGGTTAAAATCTGATGTTAGCCTAAATCTGGACAAGTGGGGGAGTAGAGGGAGGTGGAGTGTACAGTCGGTAAAGACAGCTCTCCCTTGCCCTGCCTCCAACATGCCACCATCTAAATAGGAAAGATTATCCAGAGTTATCTCTGTAGTTATGCTGCTATAGGCTTAGACTGCTGGAGGATACACTGACCTCTTTTCACACACTACTACTTTCTTCTACAATCTGCTCTTTAACTGTATTATTTTCTGCAATTTCAGCTGTTAACTTTATTTTCTCTGTAAGTGTTTTTCTCCCCAGAAGAAGCTACAATGATGTTCTGTTGAGCTGTGGTGGCCTCATGGAGGGGGCCATCGGCTAGCACACTGCTGCTAACCACTTAAACATTCTCCCTCTCCTGATAATAACTTTTTGCTTTCCTTGATGTTGGATGTGCTACTGCTAGTTTATCTGTTTAATTATAGATCCACAAGGATAAATACAATAAAGTTTATCTCTCACCAAATAGAATATTTACTAAGAAATCACAACAACTATAGACACATTACTTTGTCGTGTGTGTGTGTGTGTGTGTGTGCGTGCGTGTGCGCGCCTGCTCTGTCTTCTCGATCCTCAGTGAGTCGTGGAGGATAACTGCTTATACTGAGCCAGGATTCTCTGGAGGTTTCTTCCTGTTAAAAGGGAATTTTCCTCTCCACTGTCGCTTTATGCTTGTTTAGTATGAGGATTGCTGTAAAGTCACTGAAACTAGTCAAGAAAAATCCAAGAAAAATTAAATGCCAAATTCCCCTGCAAAGTGCGTCACTGAGAGTTTAAAACAAAAATTATTCTTGTGCAAATATTGGTGTATTCACCTTTAATACTAGTTATTAAAATGCAGCAGTTGCTGGATTGGTGCTGATCAAAGTGGAGTGCATCAAATAGAACAATATTAACATAAAAGTGAGAAGTGCCCCCCCCCCCCCCCCCCCCACCACCACCCACCACCACCACAGCTGGAAAAAATCTTAGGGGAAACACTGTATAACGGTAGTGCGACTCGTGTTGCGAATGACCACAGTCACCAATTCTTGCCATGTGTCTATGCATGTATGTAAGTCTGATCTTGGAATTGTCTGTACTGAAACAATTGCCCCTCAGGCAATCAATTTCCCTCTGGGATTAATAAAGTATTATTGAATTGAATTGAGGTGGTGGGCATCTCATTCAAAAGCCTATGAGAAGCTGGCCTCACTAGCTCAGAAATATCTAGCCACTCCAGCCACTTCCCTGTGAACGACTTTTCTCAGTTGCAGGTCACATTGTGAACAAGAAAAGGTCAGCTTTACTTTCGGAAAACATGAACAAGTTAGTTTCCCTCAGCAACTGGCTGAAAGATGAAAAAGCTCAGTAGATTTGAAAGGTGATGTGTAAACAAGAAGACCAGTTTCAGTGCAACATGATATAGTAGTTAGGTTTGCTTGAGCAACTGGATTAGTGAATATAGGAAAAGGTAAAATATTGTTCTTTTGATTTAATTTAAAAGTTTTATTGAAAACATTTTTTTAACACAAAAACGCAATGGATGACTCAAATTGTGTATGATAAAAATGTGGTAGGCCACAGTTATGCTTTGACTACATTTATTGCTTTCAGTTCTATTGAATACTGTATTGTACATCCTGGTTAATAGGAATACCAAAAAGGAAGCGGTGGGACATTGTAAAGACAAATATTATGGTGTGTAGTATGTTTCAGCTTGATTTAAACCATCATTATTTGGCTGTGTTAATAAACAGACATAATATGAAAATTGTGTATCTGTATCCTGTTATTTATCTTTTGGTATGCATTTCAGAAAAAAAACTGGTTAGGATTCAGATGTGGTTTCAAATAGTGAATAAAGCTGATTAATCCACTGAAAATTCTGATTAAAATGTGTAATAATTTGACAGCCCTATATATATATATATATACATATATACACAATGTCAGTTGTTGTAGTCGTATTTACAATAATTTCATTTAGACCAAAATAATCTGCTTGTATGATGGATTTCTGGTCTGGGTCAATGCTTTAGAAGTTAGAAGTTAACCCATCAACTAGGGCTGGGCGATATGGCCTAAAGTCAATATCACGATATATTGAGGATTTCACCTCGATAACGATAAATGGACAATAACTACAGGTATGCGCATAAAACAAAAGTTGTCCACTAGATGGGGCTGTCACATGTATCACGTTGAGTCACATTTCTATGTGACTCAAGGTGGTACAACTTCTTAAAGGTAACGTTGCCAACCTACACACATCCTTTCTATTTTTTTTATTATCAAATTTATTGACAGGAAAAATGATTTCGATATAAGTCAGAAATTTCGATAACGATAATTTTTCGGTTTATTTCCCAGCCCTACCATCAACATATAAAAAATGGACATTACCCCATTGCTCATTGCTCTCCCTGTTAGTTGCTGCTGCTGACTGAGGCACCGCAAAACCGAGGCTCATCTATGGCCACTGGGTTGGCTGGCATACCTGCTGAACACCTAAGGTATGCTAGCAGTAGTTAGCACCACTCCTTGCTATCTGCATTTCATTATTTCTTGCTCATGGATGTTTGCCTGATTCAGTGCTAGCTGTTCTGTTGGTCCCAGTGATGAAAGACAAGGGTTGGAGAGGTGGTAGCATGGATACCTATAGGTCCATTGCTCTGGCTAGCACTCTCTCAAAAGTCTTGGAAAGAATTCTGCTGGACAGAATTAATGATGCCTTAAAAATCACAGCCAATCAGTTTGGCTTTGAGTCTGAGCGTGGTACAAACATGTGTATAAATGCCCCTAAAGGACATTGTGACCAAATACAGAAACCAGAACTCCTCAGTCTCTATGTGCTTCATTCCAGCATTTCATTCATTGTCTCAGTTATCTTGTTTCAACCATCATTCATCAAAATTTGTTCATTATTGTTCCTAACCCTCAGTTCACATCTGCCTGCTGCCCGTCCGGCCTGCACTCCCACCGCTCACCTTTCCTGAAGTCCTGGACAATAACCCGTTCAACTCTTCAAGCCACCACCTTGCCTACAAGCTCACCATCTCCTCAGATCTGACTCCTTCCCTCCCCTCGAGCCCTCAGCTACCAACAATACAGTAAGCCACAACTCTCCGTTCACATCAGCTACCAGTCTGCAGCCAGTTTATTAACTCATTTCCAGAATCTCTCGAGCCCGGGACCATCGCCACACGTTGTTTTCTCCCTCAGTTTTCCTTAAATAAACCCTGTTTGTGTTAATTTCCTGTGTCCGAGACTGATTCTCCGTGTCCTGGTACAAAAAACTCAACCCCAGCATGTCAACTATTCATAAAGCTGCTGCAAAGAGGTGTTACAAGATACATTGTACACATCCTGGTTTATTGGTATGGTAAGCAAATGTTACACATAAAATGGGGTAACAGTATCTCTGAGCTATTTAAGGTCAGTAATGGAGTCAGACAAGGAGGTGTTCTAGCCCCTCTTCTTTTTAACCTGTACATGGATGATTTATCAGTGAGGTTAAAGGTCAGCAGGACTGGTTGTGCAGCGGGTGGTGTCATAAATCATCTGATGTATGCAGATGATTTAGTGGTTCTAAGTCCGAGCACCGCTGGTCTACAGCAGCTACTAGATATCTGCTCTGACTACAAGTAGAACACAACATTGTGTATAATGCAGCTAAAAGTGTGGTTAGGATTCGCCGGGCCGAGGAGGACGAGCAAATGAAGTTTCCAGAGTTTTATCTGCCAGACTCTGTGATTAGTGTCACCAAGAATGTTAAACATGTTGGTCATATCATCACTGAGGACATGAGAGATGATGTCATGTACAGGCAGTGCTGTATGTTATACGCTCAGAGAAATACACTCACTCCTAAGTTTGAGTCTTGCTCTGATAAAGTAAAGATAACCTTGTTTAAGGCTTATTTACATATCTGAAAGGTGGCAGCCCTACCTGTGTCCATGCTGTCCAGGTCCAGGTGGTGAAGAACACACGATGAATCAGTCCCAGCTGATGGATGATCCTGAAGTGGTAGCAGGTTTTCTTTAGCGGTGTTTAGCTAACAGCTGCAATAGAAACAAAGCAAGAGAGCTGATTAAGATGCTGCTTCAAAACAACGCAGGAGATTAAAGATACAACGCTTTGGTTCTGATCAGCTGAGGACATATCCAGTCTGGAAAAGAGGACCTTTGGTCACCAGAGTTCACGGAGTAGAGCTAACCGCTTTTTCCTCCAGAGTCACATTCAGATTCGGGGCTTTTCCGTCGGAGAGTGTGAGCAGGATGGATCAGAGAGCGAGCAGCGATCCTGTATCATGACCAACTCAGATGAGCGAGTCTGATAGAGGGAACCTCTTCAATCTGATGAAAGCAGCAAAACGAGCGCGTTTCTCAGAGAGGCCAAAGGAACAGCAGCAGATCCAGAGGGCAGGAAGTCTAGAGAAAAGCTTTTCTGACCCACAACCCACAATTCTGGAGCTCCGATTGTCATGAAGATCGCAGAATATCTTCTCTGGTTCTGGAAAGAACTCACCAAGTTGTCGAGGAGAAGAAAGTTTCCACAGCCTGGTGAGAAGATTTCTGCAGCAGCAGCAGTTAAACGCTTTAGCTGATCAACTCTCCCAGAGACTGAAGACATTTTTACTGCAGAGCCTCAAATATTCTCCTCACACACCAGAACAACAAGCTAGCTCTGCTAGCAGCTTCCGGTTTCTGCTTTTTCCGGTGGTCGGTATCCAGTGTAATGGTGCACTACCGCCACCTGCTGGAGCAGAATTAACCACCTGTGTGTTCAGAATGGGACTAATAAAACACATATAACTTGTGGTAAATTTCCCAGATAATGATAAGAAGAAGCTGAGACAGACTGGATGCTTTGTTGTTTGAACTCAGTTGATGAAGTTTAGTTTAATTTAATACAAACGTCCTAAAAGTTCCATCAAAAACCTCCTGAACCCAAAACAATCAAGCTGCTGATGTTCTACTGAACCTGGATCAGCTGATTCCAGCCTGAAGCTTTTCACACAGGAAGTATCCTATCAAAAATAAAGCATCAGAGTTGTTCAAGGACAGAAGGAAGAGAGACGTTCATGCTTCATGTTCTACCTTGATGCTGTCACGCACGAAGAACCCGGAAATTGTTAGCAGCGTTAGCTTGTTGTGTGGGTGTGAAATAAAATGTTTAGGTTTCATTGATTTAATCCTATCAACTGATGTCTTACTTTATGCCTGGAAGCACTCACACTCAGAGACACCCACATACACACACACTGTTCTTCCCATACACACACTGTCTCTCTCACTCCCATACACACACACACTGTCTCTCTCCCATTGACACACATACACACCTCTGGTCTTTCCTTATCTTCTTGTATAAATAAAACTCTCAGGGAAAAACTCTTGGCAGTTGGCCTCGTGCTTCTGCCCTTGTTGCATTCTGATGACTTTGTCTGCTTAATTGTTTGTCTCCCTTTTCTCTTCGACTGCAGGTAATGGGTTATTGATAAATATGTTGATAAAATCCATAACATAATTTGGTCCTTCGAGAGCCGGGGTCCCGAGTTCACCTCGCGGTGCCAAGAGCCAATGCCGCAGAACTGTCGACAACCTTTATAACTCGGATTTCAGAAAACACGATAGTTTAACAAATCCTTGTTACA